AAACCCGCAATCATCCTTGTCTTTAGCCCAAATTGGATGATTTTGTAAGAAAGCATACTCAGGAGTGGTTGCATTATTGGTAGAAACTTGTGCTGAGGAAATTTTTATGTTAGCAGATTCTGAGGACATGTCTAAAGTTAGATGTACTTGTTTTAGTAGATCCATGCCTAGAATTGCACCTGTATTTAATGGAGCACATAGCAATTTTGTAGTCAGAGTTTTCGGGCCTAATTGTACCTCTATGGGCGGGGTTTCATACAAAACAGAATCTTCACCTATTACACCAGTTAAACAAAGTTTAAGTTTTCTTGTATGTGATGTTTAAATCTTTAGCCAATTTTGTAGGATTTACTGTAATTTCTGCACCTGTATCAAGCAAAAAGTCTATCTCTTTCTCTTGTATGCTACCTTTCACAAAAATTATTTTGTCATTGTGATGGATTACAGGGGAAAGGTAGCTACTCACAGCCCCAACAATTAGTTTTTTTCCCTGTTCTTGTTGTGCTCTTAGAAGAGCCTGAGCGAGCTGTCCTAAAGTTTCAGTGGACACTGGCGGAACTACTTCAGGGTTGTAGGCGGGCTGAGAAGGAGCAGAATTATGCATAGTATTTCTTCTACTATCTTGCAACTTCTTCCTACACTCTTTCGCCCAATGTCCTAATTTTCCACAGTAGTTGCATTTGCCTTCTCTTTTAGGCCATCTATTGTCTTGATTCGTTGTGCTAAACGTAGCTGCTGCTACTCTCACTTTTGCCTTAACATCAGCATCTCTTTCCCATGTAGCTAACCTGTCTAGTTTACTTCTGAGAGTTCTGTTAGACCAAGTTAGATCTAGGAATGGCAAGGCTTTTCTGTACTTGGCTACAAGGCCATCTGACCAGATGCGGACTAGGGGTCCCTTGTCATCTAGCACATTTTCAGGATCATCAACTATTCCACTGTAAGTTACAGCTGATTGACAAAACCTTTCAGTGTATTCACTCACAGTTTCTTCTTTCCTTTTTTGGCAACAGTTTGTACTTGGACAACAGAAGAGTTGGGAAGAACACTTTCAATTCCCTCAATTCCCTGAGATCTTCTCCTAGCACCACATACCTTCACTGAATCTACAGGCACATCAGTTACTGATTGGATGGCTACATCTGTTTCAAAGAAAGCTTGTAAGCCAGGATAATTGTTATCAAGCTGACTAACTTCTTCCACATCAGTTTTTGCTGCAGCTTTGTTGCGGTTCAATTTCTTAGTCAAAGAGGATACTCTAGCACGGAGCTCTTTGTTCTGTTCCTCTAGCTCTGAGTTACGCTGAGACTGTTGTGTAGCTAGCGCTAAACCAAATTCTCTGTGGCAGCAGATAATGCCTTTCACATTGCCCTTGCAAATACATGCTCCTAGTACCTTTTTACACTCATCTACAGACCAAGTCTTGTCTGGATGGATCTTGTATTTCTGAGTAAGTTCTTGTCTAACTTTCTCAGTGACTATTAGGTTAATTTGCACTCCTAACAGTGATTTGAATTCACTATCTGACCACAAAGGAGTCGCGAGACCACCTTTTTCAGTTGTGGGGATCAGTCTAGCATTCTTTCTAAACATTTTGTGAGTTTCTTTGTTACCACACAAACAAAACACTAAAACTTCTCTGATCAACAGAGGGTACGCTTGTTAACACATCAACTATTGTTAACCTTCCTTGGCAAAGCA